AGCACGCATATCGTCAAGTAAACCAATTTAACACATCTCTAAGAGCAGGTCTGTATATATAGTATATAGTATATGGCGGACAGCTGTTGCTGTCTTTTAATTACACGCCATTAACAATTGCAACAGCCACAAATAATTGCTGGCAAATCGAACGTCATGTAACCGCTTTCAACTAGTTGCTATCAACTAGTTGCTATTAATCAATGACGCGCATCTAGAGAGTGTCATATATATACTAAGCCAGAGATTGGCAAACGGCCAGACAAGCTGGCGACTTTTTGCATTTAAGCCTGGTTAAAGTAGACAAATTCAAGAAAGAGCTCGAATTTGAATTAAATAATGAATAAATATTGCAATGCAAAAAAATATAGGGAACACCCCTGCTGTACGTGTTCGCCGACCTTTTGTTTGCTGCCTCGAATTCTCGTCTTCGTGTTACAAACTATTTCAGCTCAATTGCAAAGGCTATGAATGTGTATATGTATGTAATTACAAATATTTCGAATGCTGACATTAAATTATTGCAGTCACGTAATTAAAATAATTCTCGAACCGAGAAGAACAACAACGAGTTAAGTCAACAAATAATTAAAAATGGCATTCGAATAATTTGTAAAGTTTCATTAAGCAAACACAAAATAAAATGCAAATAAATATTTAATGGAAAAAGATGAGCTCTAAAGTGTTGCAAAACTGGCTCTGATCGATGATCTATTAATTTGAATGCCATGTAAATAGAATAATTTCAAACATACATACAATATATGTATGTATATAAGCAGTTGGCTTTGGAGCCATGAGTGGGCTGTGTGTGCAAATGATGTAAGACTTTCAGCTAACGAAGGCTTATGCAATCGCCGAGAACTCTGAGTACAGCACGTGAGCGAGCGCCAGTTCGAATGAGTGATTCATGGGAATTGATAGCAAATGTCTCCAGATGCTGGTGGCCACCGAAACTAATCAATTAACGATTGCCACACGAAACAGAATAGCTGAAGCAATCAAGTTCAAAATGTTAAACAGGGCGTGCCAATATCGTTTACACAAACTGCGAGAGTTACAAAGAGATACCTTTGTAAATTCATTAATTAATACATGTTGAAATTAGCAGAGCGATACAAAAATTAGTGGGCGTGGATGTTGGCAATTTGCTAGATGATCGTTAATTGGCATAAAAGTGCCGACAGTTGAGCTAAGGGAGCCACGAAGAGCTAATCAAGTGGAATGCCAGCTGCCGAGTTCTCAAATCAAACCGATCTCTACATAATTATTATAATTATAATTAGCATGCTTCCAAATGAGCAAAGTATGAGCAGAGCATTAGCAAAGTTAGACTGTAGTATTTCTACATATCTACGTGAAGATTGAATAAATAAAAATTTTTAAATTATATTCTTCTTAATGCTTTTTATTTTTTATCATCTCCAGCAGGTATTTTTCCTTAAATGTGTTAATGCCTCTGCATATAGAAATGCCTAGGTGTGAGTTTTGATTAATTGATAGCCAATTTATTTTATTTATTTATTTTGTTGCAGCTACTCTGAAATATATACTCAGAATATATCAAATACTTAATCAGCGCAGTCTATTTGTTTTCCTTAAATTATTTGATACTTCAAAGAAATTGTTATTTTAGAATATATTTATTATCTTGTGTGACTGGTTTCGTGCAATCTCTGAAAGATCTAAACGACTTCGATATGTGATATATGAAATGGTTTGGACCATAAATATCAGCTCACTTCCATATTTCAAGTTCAGTTCAGATCAAACAAAAAACACGCAAATTTTGTATTATCATAAATTATATAAATATTTATTATTGAATTTCAGAGTGTAAAGATTTGAAAAGGGCAAATGTTGAATAATTTTCAACTAAGAAACATAAATGAATGAATATGTTATGTATTAAACCACATTGCTGATGGCATCATAAAATATACAGTATATAGTAGAATTTTTTAATAATTAGTAAATATGTTTCTGAAGTTTAAATGGCACTAAATATTGAATGCAGCGCCGTTCAGTAATTGACTGAAAAATAATGATTTGCTCAGCTGAAATGCACAAGCCAATTTAGAGGTCGTATTGGGGCCTGAGTCTGAGTCTGAGACCGAGAGTTTGGCATTAACTTTGGTTGGGTTGTCAAGCGCATTTACGAGTATTTCGATATTTTTGGTTGTTTGTGTTTTGGTTCGCTCAACTCGTTTTTCTGTGTCACTTTAAGAGGAATTTGAAGCCCTCCCTCTCACTCTCTCTCTCTCTCTCTCTCTATCTGACTCGCTCTATCTATCTCTCTTGAGTTGGATCGACGTCAGCGTCACGTGTTCAGTTTTTGCCATTGTTTGGGTTTCATTTTCGCTATCGTTTTCATGCTTAATGCAGTTTCGATTTCTGTTTATGTCGCGCCCAGCGACAATTTAACTGCTAACCTAAAAAAAAACCCACCCAGCTACAATGAGCAAAACTATGATATAATATACATACATATGTATGCATATACATGTATATGAGACAGCGTGTAGAAGTAACAAAACTGTATATCACTTTGCATCAGCGTGCGCTCAACTGAGTCGAGCTCTGAAAAACGTTCCAATAATTGCTGCAAAATGGCGAACATTTAGAGGGAAGTAAATGTAACAAGTGAGACAAGGCGGACAATTTGAGTTTGAGTGGACTGAGAACTTGTTACTCATAAGAGTAATCTCTTCAATTGTTACTTGAAATTGAGCTCTGTCACATGATCTATCGAAAGTGCCCGACTTGGACATCTCTTGAACTATGTCAGAGTATTGTAGCTTGCATCTATGTAAATGTGCATATAAGAAGAGCTGGTTATCCACAATATAGTCCATAATAGAGTTAGCCACACCATCCTTCATTTGCAATACTTTCAGCATAAGAGATGGTGTGACGATTGAAGTACAGCAAACTAATTTAACTAATTAATAATTTGTACTTGGTATTTAATTGATTATTAAACTGCCAGAATTTCATATAAAGTAGAATATAAAAACATTCTTCTTTTTGACATATTTTTATTTAACCAATGCTAGTAAAGTTAAGCTTTAAAAATTTCGAGCTACACAAATAATTTCATCGCGCAACAGCTGATAATAAGCACGAATCGATGTTTTCATAGCGCTTCATGATATTGTTTTTGAAAGACTTGTCAAGTTTTTTAAAAGAAATATAAAGACCAAACTCAAGTTTGTATCCTAATGGAAAAACTTTAAACATTCATGCAGACAACATATAATTTTGCTCATTTAAAATTGTCTTTTGATTAGTTAATTACGCCTAAATGGAAAGCCCAATTAGATTGGTAAATGACATCTGCAGCCATTATTATCCATCAATATTTAAGGAGATTCGCCGTTGCTTTGATGTCTGATGGCATTGCCGACACTTGGACTATAAGAGCCAGCCCGCCTACTAATTATTCAATTGGCGTATCCATATCTGTTGGGTCAAGAGTAAAGCGTGTTATAATTATGGAATATTGGCCAGGTGTTGCACAGGTCAATGCAATTTCCATAATTTCAAATGTCAATTGCGTTTATATTTTATTCACCTTGTCCCACGTAGATCGAGACTTGAACTAAAAAAATAAAAAAAAGCGTACAATAACAATCGCTATATATCTGAAGACAGCCCATGTACCCAATATATGAATATAGATACACATATATATTTATATATATTCATAGATATATAAATTGGCAAGCGTTACGCACGAGTGGGCCTCGATTATAGCCCGTCTAGCTGCCACTTTTGGCCCGTGGCCCTCGTTATCGTTATCGTAATTATCATTGTTTGCCGCCGATGCCTAAATTGCAAGTTATATTTATAAAACTCGCTTCGATTTTATGGATACATTCAACTTTTTTTTATACATATATTTATACTTTTTGTACTAGATCATTTAATACCCATTGGTAACATTTTTAATTTTTTTATACTTAAGCACTATTTATTGGGGCTTATACAAATTCGAAGATGCGACATATGAACCGGTTAAACTACAGCAGAGATTTTGTTGGACATATGTATGTATACATATATCTAACCAGTTGAGCCACTACTGCGGCTACATAGAGTATATCTGATTCGAAGTGCTGGCGCCATGCTATAAAAATTCTATTGTTAATGTATAAGTAAAGCAGATATGCGACTTGAATATGCCCTTTATATAGATCTAAAGTAGAATAGATATACTACCTATAATATGGTATGATATTCACTTCGATATGGTAAACTGAGACTCTAATAGTCGGTACAGTATAGTCTGATTTATCAACTAATGTAATGTAATATATGATTGAAATAATAATATATGATTGGAAATGGAATGGGATGGAATGTAATGTGGCTCTGTGCAATTTGATACAGTTGAATTTGCTTTAATAAAATTTTGTGTGTTCTAGTACAGACTTATAATGTAAATTTTATAGTTAAATATAGTTTCTTATTAAAGGAAGGAATAGGTTAAGGTCATAAAAAAAGAACGATATGAATAAATAGAGAAGAAAATATAATCCACAATAAGCAATTGAAAAAGTTTTTGCTTATACATATAGAGATTAATCGTAAAAGATCATTCCAATATTAACACTATCTATCACATCTATATAAAATAGAAAATATCGCTTTTTGAAATTCCCACAAATCTCAAGAGCTCTTAACAAACAATATTGCACAATCATAGCTATATTCAATGGGAATAATTATTGATTTCCGACCTAATGCAATTTTGTTCTCCGATTATTCAGAGGTCGCTTTGAAGAAGAGTGTGGATGGGTTCTATAAGGGGATGCCGTACGCAGCTTGCAATGTTCTCACATATGCCTTATACGATAACTATTTAATTCTCCGATTGTTTTTGCAGCACCAAAGCAATACAAATATAATTGAATAGGCAGCTGTTTGGGGGAGGCGGGTTTATAGCAACTGTTGCCATTTGCGTTTAGAGCGAAATTCGCACGTAAGCCTTTCAGAGACTGACTTCAGACCTTAGTCGAACGTTGGCCGATTCGAATCAATTGTTTTCAGTTTTCAGTAGTGCGGCAACTGCGAACGGGTAGCATCGTAATAGAAATTCTTGGCCAAGATAAATTTTGAAATAATTTTAAATATATTAAATCGAATCAACAAGATGTTAATGAATCGCTTGAAACTGTTAACAGCATCCGCTGGTATATTCGTTTTCGCCATTATATTCGGATGGATTATATTTCCACAGATCTTAAAGTTTATGATATCGAAGGTGTGCGAGTGCGAGATCAACAAATTCATATGTTCACGGCTTTCGTATCTTCCATTCACAGCAAGTCACACTTAAGCCGGGCACAGATATACGTGCTCTATGGGCGGCTACGCCCTTTCCTCTGCATTTCTATGTCTATGTTTTCAATGTAACCAATCCAGAGGAGGTTGCAATGGGCGGCAAGCCCCGCGTCCAAGAGATCGGACCGTATGTCTTCGAGTGCGTTACATATGAATCATAATGTGATTTTTCCTGTATTATAATGAATCTTTAATTTGTGATCACAGTGAGTGGAAGGATAAATATGATTTGGTTGACGATGTCGTCGAGGATACCATATCTTACAATATGCGCAACACCTTTATATTTAACGAAAAAGCCTCAAGTCCACTGACGGGAGAAGAAATTATTACCATGCCACATCCATTGTTGCAGGTATGTAAGTGTAGTGAGGATACAAAATTGCCGAATAATATACAAAAATATTTTATAATAATAAAAAAAAAAAGATATAATAAAGTGGTTATCAGTTGTAAAATTTTCAGAATAAAATTTAATCGGTATATAGTTGATGAAGATATTTAAATTTATATATATCTATAAAAAATTTTCGTTTAATTTAATTTACACTACCTAAATCTCAGTATGAATACTTTTAATTATAGTATAATTGTCTTTGTTGCCCTTCAATTTCGAGTTCTCAAAGCTTAAGTCTCAAATCAGACTAATTGAGAAATGGGAAATAAGCTTGGACATAGAACTGTTCAAATTTGAAAAAAAAAAATTTAAAATACTAATGAGATGACAATAGAGCTACCACTTAAAGAGAATATGCAATCTATTATTAAGTTACAAAAGCCTTGTAAATTATGCAAATTACTTAACTTAAATTTCCCAGCGATTCGAAATTAACCTATCGCTGTAAAAAAAATCAAGTTAGACAGCACTTTGCAAAAATAAAAAAATAAACAAAATAGAAGACATACTAATCAAGCATTCCAGTGCGATATGTCTTTCTGACAACGTCTAGGCGACCGAGTCGCTGTTGCTTTTGTAAATTGTAAATGAGTTGCAATTAGCTGACGATTTATCAATGTAGCCGTAGAAGTCGCGACTGCTCAGGCCTGTCTCCTACACTCGATCTCAATCGTACCCAATTTCGACAGCCCGCTGGAATCAATGTGCAACGTGAGCGAGCGGCGATGATGGAGCTGGTTGCCAAGGCGCTGGCAATTGTCTTTCCGGATGCAAATGCTTTTCTCAGCGCCAAGTTTATGGATTTCTTTTTCCGTGGCATCAGCGTCAACTGCTCATCGGAGGAATTTGCAGCCAAGGCACTGTGCACGGTTTTCTACACGGGCGAGGTGAAGCAGGCCAAGCAGGTCAACGGGACGCATTTTCTATTCTCTTTCTTGGGTCAGGTAAGCTATACTCTCAGCTAAACTAAACTATTTTCTAGTCTAATCAAAATTACATAAATGAAATATTCATTTACTTTTTGTCAACTCTATAATCTGTAGAACTCTGTCGTTTTCTGTTCTTAGTTCATATTTCATCTCTTTGCAGGCCAATCACACAGATGCCGGACGTTTTACAGTCTTTCGCGGCGTCAAGAACAATAAAAAACTGGGCCAGATCGTCAAATTCGCCAATGAGCCGGAAATGGACGTCTGGCCGGGCGACGAGTGCAATCAGTTTATTGGCACCGATTCGACAATCTTTGCGCCGGGCATGAAGCGCGAACAGGGCCTGTGGGCCTTTACGCCGGACATCTGTCGATCACTGGGCGCTGTCTATCAACGTAAGTCGTCATACCATGGCATGCCCTCACTCAGGTATACCCTGGACTTGGGCGATGTTAGTGCGGATGAGAAGCTGCATTGTTTCTGCAAGGATCCCGAAGACTTGTCCACTTGCCCGCCTAAAGGCACCATGGATCTGTCGCCTTGTGTGGGCGGTCCCCTCATGGCCTCCATGCCGCATTTCTATAAAGGCGATCCCAAGCTGATTCAAGATGTTGATGGGCTCCATCCCAACGAGAAGGATCATGCTGTTTATATAGACTTTGAGCTGGTATGTGAGAAGCTTTTGAAATGAGATGGGATAATATGACTCCATTTTAATTCCACTTAATTCTGTCTTTATAGATGTCGGGCACACCATTTCAGGCCGCTAAGCGTTTGCAGTTTAATATGGATGTGGAGCCTGTCGAGGGCATTGAACAAATGAAACACCTCCGAAAGCTTATCATGCCCTTGTTCTGGATTGAGGAGGGCGTGCATCTGAACAAAACCTACACCAACTTGGTCAAATACACGCTATTTCTGTGAGTATTCCAAAGTGGAGTTAGACAAGCGGATCTAACAGTGAAATTCTAATGCACAGCGGCCTCAAAATCAACTCCGCCCTACGCTGGACCCTAATCACTCTGTCCTTAGTTGGCATGATGTCTGCTGGCTATTTGTTCTATCAGAAATCGGATGCGCTGGACATAACCCTGCCGCCCAAGATCATCAAGGATACGAACAAGGTGGCCAACCAGCCGAGACCCGAGAAGCAAGAACAACAGCCAACCTCGCCAGTAGCTGTGCCCATACCAGGCGTTAATCTCTCCAATCCGAAAGTGGAGCAGAGGGCGCGCTACTAACCGAGACTCACATCATCGAAATAGCTGTCGTTATTGTTTTCGTATATTTGTAGTTGAAACACCTGTAGTCCAATAAGCACGCGCTAATAAATATGGCAAAGACCAATCAGCTGTTCAGTTGAGCCGTGAGCCGTCAAACTGGTTCAGGCCTAGATGACTGCACTTGACAAACGTCTTCAATGATCGCCAACGATCGTCGTTGATCGTCGATCGCTGATCACCAAAGCCCAGACACGAGATGAATGGCAACATTTGTGCACTCTCATGACACCAATAATGCGCAACGATAGCTGCAACGGCAAAGCGATCAACGATCGCAGTAACTGTACCCATCAGAGCCAATGCGAAGTTGATGATCGAAGCGAAGCGAAGCGAAATGATTTAAGCTCAAAGAACTGATCTAGATACAAAATATATCACTATGCCACACAGGAAACTGCAACAGCAATCACTTTTATTTGCCGGAGCTTTCATTGCCTTATTGTACTTATTGAGATTTGAAGTAAAATGGTGGCAGCTTTTGTCATTAGCCGTAGAAATGTTCGTTGTGAGAGTCACAAATTGATCATTGAATAGATTTCTGCAAGGGATTTCCTTTTGAGTCAGGATTTTGATTGACAATATTTATTGATCAAAGCTACGTTAGGCTATCGGCATCATCTTCGAACCAGATCAGTTCCTCTGCCTGTGCCACTTCAACACCGGGACATTGCATGGAATACGCCGCTTGGTTATCAACTTCGTTATCGAATATGGTTATGTGCTTGGCTAAGGTCGCATCGCCCACAAACTGCTCCAATTGTCCGCATAAAGAGTCTGTATTATCTATGTAGTGACTATTGAGGGGACCAAAGTCATCCTTTATATAAATCTCTCGCTGTTGATTGTGCCACACATCTAGCACCTTTAGCTCTGGCAACTGCTTTAAGATCTGATCGGGCCAGTTAGAGTCGTTGGCATAGGATATGCTCAAGCGCTTCAATTGCTGTGCAGGCCACGGATCGGGTATGGCTGGCAGCTGATCGAGACCCGTCAAGTCCAGGTCCAGGAGACTGCTGGCATTGCGCAGGAACTCCAAGCTCTGCAGACGAGTATTGCTGAGCAGCAGCTGCTCGAGCTGATCGGCCTGATCTAGCTGCAGGCTCTCCAATGGACAGTTATCGGCCTGGAGCTCACGTATGTGACCAGCGAGATGCAATCGATGCAGTTGCGGATTGTCCGAGATTATCAGACGCTGCACAGAAGGAAAAGCGTTAGCTGCGATCCGCTTTAATCGATTGCCACGCGCTGAGAATTGCTGAAGCTGAGCCTGTTCGGCACACAGTTCCTCGGGCAGCTCGGTTAGCTGATTGTTGTCCAGATTGAGCTGCTGCACCTGCTGCAGATCTGTGAAAATACCAGCTGGCAGTTGCTGCAGTTGATTGTCTTGCAGCCAGAGCTGCCGGAGCTTATGCAGGCCAGCAAATGCTCTGGCAGGCAAATTATCCAATCGATTATCAGCCAAATTCAATTCCTCCAGCTCAGTGGCCAAAGCGAAGTTTGCTGAATTCAGTTTGGATATTAGATTGCCAGCAAGCTGCAATGTCTTCAATTTGGTAGCACTCTCAAAGCATTCGGCTGCCACATGTTGCACTTGACAGCCTTGAACGTCCAAGTGCTCCAGTTTGTCCAGTGTGCGAAACACATTCAAAGGCAATCGACTCAAATGGGAATTACGCAACACTAAAGTCGTCTGGTTATCCAGTTCTTTAGTGATTTCTGCTGTGAAATATGCCACTTCCGAGACGTCTGGATAGTTAAGCTCCTCACACAGATACCCTTTACATTTGATGCTAGTCACTGACACTTGCTTTGGCTTCGCCAAACAGCTGTTGCACAGCAGCCAAAAGAGACATAGATAAAATAGAACCGACATCTCCTCTATAGACTTGCACTTCCGCAACTGAAATGTGTCAGTGGCGAGATCCGCCTTTTTAAAGGTCCACTACGAACGAGACAGTCGGCATTCTATCAAAGCCAAGCCATAGTCTAGCCAAAAACAGGTATAACCACAACTAAGAATGAAGCTTTTGGACTATTCAGCTAAGAATGTTGCGCTGGGAGTGAACGAATCAGTAAACAACAAATAACAAATAACGATCGAGAATAAGCTAAACAGAATAAATTTTTTTGAGGGAGCATACTTTAAATTATTTATTTAATATCTGCAAATTAATATCTGTAAATTAATATTTTTAAATTTATGTATATTTTACTGTTGAGACAGTAAAATTGTTTACAGTTTTACTATTGCGAAAATCTAAATTATATAGCATATTACTTCATATACACTCACAATTCGCAATGCTACAAAACTATAAAATTGATACCTGAACAAACAGGAAAAACATTCTCTAGAATATTCTTCATTTATATTCAGCAAAATAATATTTATTATAATGATATATATAATACAAAATTTTATTTTATTTTTATCATTGTTTTGTATAATAAAAATAATTATTAATAGGATAATACTTTTCTTTTTCTATATCTATGGTCCTATGCTATCGCTGGTTTATTTAAATATATTCACTCTAATAGGCTAGTGAACCTTTGCCTTATTATGGCATAGAGTTGAGTTTAAAATTGAATTGCAATGGCTAAAAAATTAATAGTTCGACAGGCACTTAACTTTTCCCAGAGCTAATCACATGCATTTGTTTTGGTTTATAGTCAACTCGAAAGGCAAACATATAAAGTGTATTCATGTCTCGTTCGAGATCAATAAACTAATACTTTTATATGTTTTTCATATTTGCTATTTGACTTGAAAAAAAAAAAAAAACAAAACAAAACAAAACCGTCCGCCGGCTTGTGTTGGAGCTAATAAAAATATATGAATGTGCTCAATATGAATATTCGCGACGTTAAGCTCTCTCTCTGTACAATAATAATATTCGGACACAGCTTGGCGATAAGCACGTTCTTAGCGCCCAATTTTAGAAACATGCATAAACAATGTTAAATTGAGTTCTGCTGCTTCAGTTTACTACAATTGGCATATCAGCTGTTGGCTATGAATATAATGCACAATGTATAATTGTGCGTGGGGTGTGGCTATATGTGGGCCAAGTTCAGCATAGCCACTGGGCGATAAGCCAGTCCTCTCTCTGATATGGGGATTTGTGAAGGAGTTGCCTCAACAAAGGGCGAATATTATAATAGTAACTAAAACAGTTGTATTTTCCTTGGAAATTAAAATTAATGATTAAAGTGTAAAACTGTGTGTGTTCCAGAAATCGATATACATGTCGACAATCGATATCAATTTATATGCATAAATCAATCGATTTTCTATTTGAATTCTTTTAGTTAATACCAAAATAATAAATAGCAGCTTTCGCTATCTTTTGAAGTATATTTGCCAATATAATTCTATAGATAAACTCAAATATGATTTTTGAATATTAATTGTATTTTTTTATGACATCAATTATTATCGATCTTATTTTATGAGTATTTATAGTTGATGCACAGTTTGTGCTAATGATATTTCTTCCATTTGGATATTGCCAGTCGCCCATTGCAGAACTACGTCAATGTCCAAAATGGAATTCGATTTTGTCACACATTTTCGCACATGATCGTAAACTTGACGATGGGGCTCAATAGAATATTGTTTCCATATTTGCAGGCGCCATAAAACGTCAGAAGCGTTTACTGAGTCAACCGACTGATTGATTGTTTGTCAGTTGACCATATAGTATATATAGCATAATATACACAGGCGAACACATTTATGTACGCACTTGTTTGCACAGCAAAACTATTAAGGAAAATTTGATTTAAATTAAACGCAACAAACAAATTCTCACTCGAGCACAAAGTCCCATCGAATCTGTGTGTGTGAGTGGAGAGAGAGAGAAGGCTTCTTTCTGACTGGTAGTCCGAGGGGTTTATGCTGGATTGTTGTGCTGCGATGCAAAGTAATTGGAGGCAAATTGAATTGAAAGAACGACAAAAATAAAGAATTGTATCGCTAAACGAAGTCATGCCGTTTCAATTGAGAGACAAGAGGGCAAAATGCTATATCTATACCTTATCTATATACATAAAAAAATATATATACATACATAAGCACAATTGTGCGTATATATGTGTGTACATATGTATAGCAGCATGTGTGTGCGTGTGCGTCTACAACAACAATTTGAAACAGTAATTGACAATAAATAGATCGCTCGCTAATTACAAATTGACTAAAACAAACACTTGCCATAGAAACCCATACAGATACATACATATATCATATGCATGTACAGATATACAAATATTATACCATATCACATATTTTTAATTTATTGAACAAATGCAAATTGCGTTATTTATTTCTGTTTGCTTGCGACTTAGCGTATTGGCCAGGAAACTGTTGCCAAAAGTTAATTGGATTGAAATTTGTTTGCATATAATTGAATTGTGCTTTAGTTAGCCTTTGTTTAGTCTTTGGTGGGTTTTATTTTGCAGCCGGTGTTTATATTTTGCCGAGCACTGTTAAAGGCAAATTGAGTGACTGGAAAGCAGGTCGAACATGTTTAACAAAAGCCATTATAATTTATATTTATTTGCTTTTGGTTTTTACTTCTTGACTAGAAATTAAAAATTATGACCGTTAATTAGCCATTTTAATTCTAAATACACATTTATGCATATGTGTTTGCATGTGTAAATTGAATTTTCGTTATTTTGCTTATAAGCAAATATATTTATAGGAATATATTTCACACCTGTAGGCCGCATTCAATAATGTCCAATACTAATGGGGCTTTTTTCTTGCCAGTTGAAAGGGCAAGAGACGATTACATTTTGGCCAACTGTCGCTCATAACTTTTTGAACACTAGCCAAATAATATACAAATCTACATACATACTATACAAATAAACAACAAAAAATCAGCAGCAGAAAACAAGTCGTGAAATTGCTTGGCGTTAATTTGTTTATCAAGTCGTTGGTGCAATGCTCTATGAAATGAATCCCAGATGTTTTATAAAAATGAATTTTATTATACATTTAGTTCGTTTAATTATGCCCACAAATAATATTAAGGGCTGAGGCCTTCAAACTAT